ATCTGCCGGCCATCCCCTCTGACTCTGCACCGCCTGCCCGGCCCATCCCCTCTGACTCTGCACCGCCTGCCCGGCCCATCCCCTCTGACTCTGCACCGCCTGCCCGGCCCATCCCCTCTGACTCTGCACCGCCTGCCCGGCCCATCCTCTCTGACTCTGCACCGCCTGCCCGGCCCATCCCCTCTGACTCTGCACCGCCTGCCCGGCCCATCCCCTCTGACTCTGCACCGCCTGCCCGGCCCATCCCCTCTGACTCTGCACCGCCTGCCCGGCCCATCCCCTCTGACTCTGCACCGCCTGCCCGGCCCATCCCCTCTGACTCTGCACCGCCTGCCCGGCCCATCCCCTCTGACTCTGCACCGCCTGCCCGGCCCATCCCCTCTGACTCTGCACCGCCTGCCCGGCCCATCCCCTCTGACTCTGCACCGCCTGCCCGGCCCATCCCCTCTGACTCTGCACCGCCTGCCCGGCCCATCCCCTCTGACTCTGCACCGCCTGCCCGGCCCATCCCCTCTGACTCTGCACCGCCTGCCCGGCCCATCCCCTCTGACTCTGCACCGCCTGCCCGGCCCATCCCCTCTGACTCGCGTGCTGCTGACCGGCAGGCATGAACCTCACCCCCGACAACGTGGTCGTCGCAATCAAGCCGGGCTCCGAGGCGGCGGCCTGCGGCCTCATCCAGCCGGGCGACCGCGTGCTGCACCTCAACGGCCACGCGGTCTCCGTCGACGAGCCGGTCAAGAGCTTCGCCATCGACCTCGCCGACGGAGCCGCCGCAACCTTCTCCCTCGTGCGGCACGCCGACACGGACTCGGCCGGCGGCGCGGCGCACATCCCTGTCGTCGACGGCTCGCCCGCCACGCCGCCGCAGCAGCCCGCCGCGCCGGCGGCGGCGCCGCCGCCGCTGAGCGCGGATGACGACCTCGCCCGCAGGCTAGCTGACCTCAAGCGGGGCTGAAAGGAGTGCGAGTTGTCAAATAGCTTGGTTCCACGTGTTCGGTGTCGCGCGCGCGGATCGCGGGGGCCACGCGCGACGTGTGTGTGTGTTGGAGATGGAGTGTACAAGCGGTGGATTGAGGAATTGTCGTGCGGCGGCCGGCGCTCTCGAGCTCGCGCACCGCCCAACGCAAACGCAACCGCCGCCCCGGCCGCCCGGCCGCGATGGCCCAATCGCGAATCGGATCCGACATCCGATGGCCGATGTGCGCCTGATCTGTGCGGGGGGCGGGGGCATGCGCGCAAGGCGCATGCGCGAAGCGCTCAAGGCTAGCCGTAGCCCCCAACGCCCAAGCGGCGAGCTGCAGCTGCGCTCTGGCCTCATATCCCTCAAGGCGGTTGCCCCGGACACGCGAGAGAAAAATCGCTCGTGACAACATCCAAAAACAAACTCAAATCTTATTACGCTAGTGGAGAGGGCGGCAAGCGATCGGCCGATGCGCGGATCGGCGCTGCCCCAGAGCTCGCGACGAGCCGCGGGGGCCCGGGGGCAGAGAAACGCCGGGGGCAGAGAGCCGACGCTTGCTGCGTCGCGGGCAACGCAACGCCAGCAAGCAAGCTACAGGCGGTCCTCCCCGTCGATCGACGCGAGAGGCGCGCGCGGCCGCGCCCCGCGAGCGGCGCGCGTGCGGCGCCCCGGCCGCCGCCTGCGCGCGTACCGCCGCTGCGCCGAGGCCCCAAACGCGCGGGGGCGCCCGCGCCGCCGCTCAGCCGTAGATCTTGACCGGCTTGTCGTACCCCGAGCGCGCCTGCTGCTTCTTCCTGCCCGTCCCCGTCTGCGCGTGCTCAAGCCCCAAGTAGTCGTCCCAGTTGGAGTAGTTGTCGTGCTTGCGAAAGTGCGGCCGCACGACGTCGTCGTCCTGCTCCAGGTACTCGACGCGGCCAAAGGATACGACGGCGAATCTCCACGCGGCAATCTCCTCGGCCGTC